AAATATTTAAATTATGAAATATGCAATTAAATAATTAAATTTGTCTTTAAATAAATTAATATGCACTTTTAACTATGAATTTATGTAATTAAACATCTTTTTAACAAAATTTTCCATTTAAAAATATATAAATTATTATTTCATGTTCCAGGGAGCGCTGTTGTCATGAATTATTTAAAACTGTCAAACCCAGCCATCAAACTCAGTAGGCGGGACATGCGGGGTTCCTCCCACAGACATCCATATCAAATGCAGCTCTGAGATCTAACAGGACAAGAATGGACACAAGTCCACTGTCTGAGGCCATGAGAATGTCAGTAACTTTCACCAGTCCTGTTTCTGTGCTATGATGAGCTCTAAACCCTGACTGAAACTCCTCATATAGATTATTTCTATCCAGATGTTCACAGTTGATTTGCAACCATTTTCTCAAGAATTTTTGAGATGAATGGGAGATTAGAAATAGGTCTATAGTCAGCCAGAACTCCTGAATCAAGATCAGGTTTCGTGAGTAAAGGTTTAATTACAGCAACCTTAAAGCTCTTTGACACACAACCAATCATTAAAGATAAATTAAGTACATCTAAAACATAGATATTAATTAAGGGAAATGCTTCTTTGAACAGTCTGGTTGGGATGGGATCTAGCAGACATGTTGATGGTTTGTATGAAGCTATCATTTTAGATAATTCAGAGCTCAACAGGACAAAACCTGTCCAGACATAAATCAGGTTCTAGTGACACTAAAGCTGCCTCATCTGACAAAGAATCAGAGACAGTAGCAGGAAGTATGGCAGGAATTTTGTTCCTTATTAAAATTATTTTACCTATAAAGAATCTCATGAAGTCATCACTACTTAACGTTATAGGGATACATGGCTCAACAGAGATAGGACTTTTCATTGGTCTAGATACAGTACTGAACAGAAACCTGGGATTATTTTTATTATCTTCTATTAAAAGATGAATAATATACAGTTCTAGCTTTACGAAGGGCATCAGATGATTTCAGCTGCAGCTTCAGTCAGGGAACAACAGCTTGTTTTGTTTTTGTTTGTTGTTTCCAACACAACACGAATTTGAAGTTTCAGCTGCTTTCAGCTTTGACTCATTTAAGTGTA